AAGATGCCCAACGGTTGATCTTTGCTTCCCACCTCCACCCAACGCAGCGCGGCCTTGCAGGTGGCTGACATCTTCTACTCGGCGCTGAGCACCCTGAGACTCCTCCTCCTCCTCCTCCTCCTCCTCCTCCTCCTCCTCGTCCTCCTTCCTCCTCCTCTCCTCTCCTCCTCCTCCTCCTCCTCCTCCTTCTCCCCCTGCACCACCAGACCGGCCCCCCAGCCCTGACGGACTTCCTGTTTATCGATTCGGCGCCCATCGTCATCGTCATCAGCATCATCATCAGCATCATCAGCATTCATTCATCTGCAGCATCATCCTCCTCGTCTCCTCCTCCTCCTCCTCCTCTTTGTTTTTTTTTTTTCTTTTTTACTCCTCCTCCTCCTCCTCCTCCTCCTCTTCCTCCTCCTCCCCTCCCCACAGCCCCTCCGCTCCCTCCCGTCTCACCTCCTGCTGCCTCTGGAGCAGCAGGAGGGGGGGACGAAGACGGCGACGGCGACGATGAATGGAGAAGGGAGGAGGAGGAAGGGCGGTGTGGAGGAGGAGGAGGAGGAGGAGGAGGAGGAGGCAGGAGGAGGAGGAGGATCACGAGAAGGCAGGAAGAGGAGAAGAAGAAGGAGCACGACGACGACGACGAGGAGCAGCAGCAGGTCGCCGCGAGGTCGCCGCTGCCGACGACGAGGACGGCGAAGGCGGCGAAGGCGACGGCGCCGATCGACGGCGGCGACGACGTCTGCCGCTGCGGCGCCGCGCGGCTGGTGCGCCCGTGGCCCGCAGGGCCCGCGGAGTGGAGCGCGCGGTCCCGTGCGAGCTCTCCGGGGGGAGGCGGGCCCGGGGCGGGGGGAGGGGGGGAGGGGCGGGGGGGGGGGGGGGCGCCGCGGTTCTGCCGTGGGGGGGGAGGGGAAAAAAACCGTCCTCCTCCTCCTCCTCCTCCTCCCTCCTCCTCCTCCTACCTCCTCCTCACTCCCTCCTCCTCCTATCCTCCTCATCCTCCTCATCCTCCTCCCCCTGCTCCTGGCCCAGGGTGCCCCCAGGGTTTCCAGAGGGCCGCTCAGCGATGTGCTGTTGAACCGAGCCTGCACGGTGGGCCCTTTCCCGAGTCCGTGCTTCGGTGCGGATCGTCTGCGCGCCTCGTCTCCGTCGTCGTCGTCGTCGTTGTCGTCGGCGTCGTCGTGGTCGTGGTGCGTGTTGCTCTGCTCTTGTTTCCCAAATGCAGTGACCACCACTACCAACCCCCTCCTCATCCTCCTCCTTCTCCTCCTATTCCTCCTCATCCTCCTCCTGCTCCTCCTCGCATTGCTCCTCCATCCATCCATCTTCCTGATAGATAACTCCTCCCTGCCGCACCCGCAGATGTGTCGGTTGGGTGTGCTGGGCGTTCCGCTTGAGATTGAATCGCCACTTATGACCCTGAAATCTGAAATTTACAACAGATTCACGGATGGAGGGCGGGTCGTTTTCAAATTGTGGTTATCGCCTTGGCGCCGCGCACATTCGTCTTGAAAGGTCGCAGCAGCTTCCAGGATTAAGGGTGGTGTTTCAAAATATGGTTTTCGCCTTAGCGCTGGACACATTCGTTTCAGAAGTTAGCAATAGGTTCGAGCACTCGTATTGTCGAAGTGCCAGACTTGGAGTTCTGGCGCGATTCAAGATTGCCTGGGCCTAACAGACACGTTGATTCGCTGTGCTGAAGTCCAAGGAAATGCGTTCTGACACGATTCTGGAGCGTCAGGACGCCACAGTCACGTTGATACGCTGCGCTGAAGTCGCAGGAATTATGTTTTGACGCAGTTGAGGATTATCAGACGGTTGTCTTCCTAACGGGCCACTTCCTGCGATGAAAATAAATTCCTAAATTGCTGTATGGACCTACGACGAGAGAACTTGCAGCGAGGCCATTTTGCAATAATGTTGAGGCGTCTAGGATGTACACTGGTCCTCCTTCTCCTCGTCCTCCCCCTCCTCCTCCTACGTGGTGAACCCAGACCCCATCCCGTCATGAAAAAAACACAAGACGGGCGTTGTTTGCTAATTATCGACCCCTGGGGGCCTTCGCTGGGCCCAGGACCGTCAAAAACTAGACAGGATCAAAGACCGGTCCCTGGGAATGGGTCGAGATCTCCAGAGGCCCACCTTATGAAACAAGATCACGTCGGGGTCTGGGAAGGCTGAAAAAGGAAAGATGCCCAACGGTTGCTTTTTGCTTCCCACCTCCACCCAACGCAGCGCGGCCCTGCAGGTGGCTGACATCCACTCCTCGGCGCTCGGCATTCTGATACCCGAACCCATAATGGTACTGGCGTTCCTCCTCCTCCTCCTCCTCCTCGTCGTCCTCCTCCTCCTCCTCCTCCTCCTCCTCCTCGTCATTCTCACCCTGCCACACCAGACCGGCCTCCCGACCTGACGGACGTCCCGTATGCCGATCGGCGGCCCGTCGTCCCGACCTTCGACGCGTAGCCCGAGCGGGGGGGTCTCCGACTGAGTTGGCGGTGCCTGCCGCGAGCTGCCGTGTTGTCCCGCGGGTGTGGCGCGCTCGAGATTCTCATTCCCCACATCTGGGGCACGCCAACTTTCCCTCGCCGCGCCGTTGGGCTCTGGTGGATGATACGCCAAGCCCACTAGATTGGTTCTCTTCTGATCGCCCCCCTCTCTTGTTTCCCCCTTTATCTCTCTTTTTCTCTTTTGCGTTCTCTCTATATAATGTGTAGATGTAGAGATCCCTCTCTCTCTCTCTCTCCCTCTCTCTCTCACTCTCCCTCTCTCTCTCTCTCTCTACCTCTCTGTCTGTTTCTCTCTCTCTCTCTCTCTCGTTATGTCTCTCTCTCTCTCTCTCTCCCTCTACCTCTCTCTATCTCTCCCTCTCTCTCTCTCTATGTATCGCTCTCTCCCTCTTCCGTCCTCTCTATCTCTCTCTCCCTCCATGTCTCTCTCCCTCTCTCCCCCTCTCTCTCTCACGCTCACGCTCACTCTCTCTATCTCTCTCTCTCTCGCTCTCGTTCTCTCTCTCTCTCTCTCTCTCTCCCGCCCACATGTCACGTCCCTTCCTACCCGCCCCCCCTCCCCGCATCTAAGGGCAGTGAACCTCCCCATCCATCATCTCCTGCCCACAACTCGTCAGCTCCATCTTCCTGATGTCCCTCCTCCTTGTCCTCCTTCTTGGAGGCTCCGACACGCTGCCATGTTTCTTCGTTCGGTGGACCGAGTGGTTCGAAGGCCGACATCCGAGGGTTCTGCATGCTCATGTTTGACCGCGTGGCTGAGCTTATGGAGGCCTCCAGGGGCGTGCAGTCGAAGGGCCCCAGGGACCTCCTGGAGACTGTCGGGGCCCTCCGCACGCCGCGCGCCCCCTGCTGGCTGGCAAGGCGGCGAACGCTGCCAGTGTGGCACCTGCTAGCGCGAGATGCGGTATCCTGCACTTGCAGCCTGGATATGGGACCTCGTCGCTCTGCCTGCCTGCCGACCGACGCTCATCATCATCAGCAGCATCATCAGCAGCATTAGCATCAGCATCATTATCATCACCACCATCATCATCATGATCATCATGATCATCATCATCATCATCATCATCATCATCATCATCATCATCATCATCATCATCATCATCATCATCACCAGCAGCATCAGCATCAGCAGCATCATCATCACCAGCAGCATCAGCATCAGCAGCATCATCATCATCATGAGCAGCATCAATATCATCAGTATTCATCCTCATCCTCATCATCATCGTCGTCGTCGTCATCATCACCACCACCATCATCGTCACCACCAACGGCATATTAATGTGCATAATGTGTAGCATCGTCCTCAGTAGCACCATCAGCAGCAGCAGCATCAGCATCATCATCAGCACGATCATCATCAGCATCATCAGCATCACCAGCATCGACATCATCATCAGTACCATCGTCATCAGCAGCAGCAGCAGCATCATTATCATCGTCATCAGCATCATCACGGTTGGGCATGCTGATCCGAATTTCGAACAAGTTTCGACTCACAGTTGTTTCCGAATATAACGGAGACCATCTAATTCGAGCATTCGCCAATGCAACGTGGATTTGTAATTAGCTTGTCGGCCTGAATGAATTATGGGGTTGAGGGCCGTCATGTGTTTTACCATCTGAGTTTGATTTGTATCGGCAAAATGCTTAATTGCATCTGACTTGGAATCGTTGAGTTCAATATCCCGCCTTCCGACGACCCACGAGCGCAATTTCGTTGGGAATATGGGAGGATGGGCATTATTCGCATTATCATCACAGGTTCATCTCAACCAGGATTATCCTGATCTGCTTAATCAACGCCACTACCGATCATCGTCATGATTGCCACCACCATGATCAAGCCCATGGTATGAGCTCCAGCCCCATCACCGAATACATTAAAACAAGCCAGCCGTCTCACGCGCCTCTCGTCTCCTCTATCCCGATCGCGGTTTGCACGAGATGATGCAAGGATGTGTATTAAAAAGGGGCAGCACGTGTGCATTGTAGCAGGCGCACTGCATGCGTGTTAAATACCTCGGCCTCAGATACGCCCTGGCCAATGCCGCTGGACGAGACACGAAGAGGGGCCGGAGGGGAGAGGCAGAAGGCAAGGGAGGAAAAAGAGGGGGGCCTCCTCCTCCTCCTCCTCCTCCTCCTCCTCCTCCTCCTCCTCCTCCTCCTCCTCCTCCTCCTCTCCTCCTCCTCCTCCTCCTCCTCCTCCTCCTCCCTTCTAGTTATTTCCCGCCACCCTCGGGCATTTCCTGGGGGTGGGGCGTTGCAGGAGGCATCAGCCAGGAGGAGCAGGGGGAGGGGGGAGAGGAGGAGGAGATGGAGGAAAATGATTGTGGGAGGGGGAGGGGGAGAAGGAGGAGGCGATGGGAGACGAGCGGCGCGGGCGCAACCGCCCCGCACACGGGGCCGTCCATCGACGTCGTCCATCGACGGCGACAACGACGACGACGTCGACGACGTCGAAGAGCCGCCGCGGCCCGCCCGTGCGCGGCGTGCCAGGGACGTCCATGGAGTGGAGCACGCGCCCTCGCCCGAGCTCGCCCGGAGGAGAGCAGCAGCCCCGCCCAGCCTGGCCCGCGCGGGGGGGGGAAGTCGGAGAGGCTCGCATCTGTGTATCAGTCGGGGGTTGCTCCAGGTACTTGATTAGTGAATTTAATTGGTTTCAGGGTTTGAACAAATGGTCGCAGCCACGCAGAGGGCGTGCGTAGCGACGCCCCAAATGCTCGGTCTCCAGTACTTCTACGTGGCGGCGCCCCCCCCCAGGCACGCAGAGCTTCTGAAGACCACACAGGTAGAAAAACCAATTGCTTCCACTACTAAAGTACCCCTGGCCCAAGGTGCCCCCAGCTGTTCGCTCCATCTCGGAACCCCTTGGGCCCTCGGGGCCTCGCGAGGCGTGCTCTGGAGGCCGTGGGGCCGTCCTGGAACCCCTTTGGGCCCTCCAGGGCCTCGCGAGGCGTGCTCTGGAGGCCGTGGGGCCTCCGTGGGAATCTTGGGGCCTCCGCGGGGCCAGGGGCACCTCTGGCAACACCCGAAGCGGGGAGCTCCTCCTCCTCCTCCTCCCTCCTCCTCCCCTCCTCCTCCTCCTCCTCCTCCTCCTCCTCCTCCTCCTCCTCCTCCTCCTCCTCCTCCTCCTCCTCCTCCTCCCGGCGCCGCTGCTGGCGTGCTCCGCGCGCCAGACAGGGGGATCCAGCGCCGATCCAAGAGAGCGAAAGCTTATGATTGTGTCATTAGCTGTTTCCCGAGTGCACGCCTGCAGGGGTCGTCCTTTCTGTCTTCACGTTCGCCGCCTCGACGCCGGCTCGCCCGAAGTGCGCCAGCAGCCAGCAGTGGTCACCGGGCCGTCGCGACAGCAGGCAGTGCTCAAGCAGTGTTGGTCTGGGTTGCACCCTCGCATTGAAGACTACATCGCTTGAGCCAGGCATCAGTCAGGAGCCTGCGTTGGTGGATCCTGCCTGGCTCCAAGGCCACGTGGAACCGTTCTGGTGGCTCTTGGATGCATGCTGGAGGCAACCGTGTCTGGAGCCGTACTGGAGCCATCTTGGCCCGCGAGCCTCCCAAGGGCGAACCGGAGAGGCCAAGATCAAGCAAAGCATGGTTTGGGTTGCGAGCGAAGAGGGAGTCCTCCAGTGGCGTCGCCCCGCCAGAACCCAAAAAGTCGATCCCTCCTGAGCCCCTCATGTGGCGTTCCTGGGCGATCTCGGAGCCATCGTGAGGCCTCAGCTTCCCATGGGAAATGGAAAGGCGAGGAACTCAAAAAAATCGAAATCTTGAGTTATGTGAATCATGTTGGCCTCTTCGGGACCTCCACGGGGTGCTCCGTGGCCACCTGGAGCCGTCACAGGACCTTCTTGCAGCTTCTTGGAAGCATGCTGGAGGACACGTTGAGCCCCCATCACGGGCTATGTTGAGCTAGGAGGCCATCTGGGACTATCTGGGGCCATGGCGCACCCGAGCAGGACCCTCTGACACATCGCGACCCTCCTCCAGACCGAGGAGAGGGGAGGGGGAGACGCAAATCCCTCCCCCAAGGGGAGGAAGATGTCTGCCGAGATCCCTGCGAGTCCAGACTGCCGGAGCCGGCGTTCTGGGGGGAGCGCGCCGACGTTGGCCTCTGGCCAGGGGCCCCCACACGGTGCGGCGGCCACACCCGTGGCAGGGCCGTGGGGGCTCGGGGTGGCCGGCCGCACAGTGTTGGGCCTCGGGAAGGCCCGGGGGGGCGACCGGGAGACTTCCGGGGTCCCAAGACGGTGCGGTGACGGGCCGTGCGGTCCATCACACGGTAGCCGCACGGCTTGTCATTGCACCGTTTCGAATCCCCCAGGTGGCGGGCGATTCGGCGGCGACCCGAGCGAAATTGCGCCGGGGATCTTGCCCTCACAATCATTGACGCTTCTCAGGGGCAACGTTAGGGGGGGGTAGGCTCATGAGAGAGGGGGGATGCATCGACTCTCAATCGCCCAGTGATAGCCGACAGGGGTCCGATAGCCCACCCCGCCCAGGAACGCTTTGGGACCCCCGAGTTGGCCAGACTTGGGGGGCCCAGAGCCCCAAAGGGCTCCGAGCGCCCGCCAACGTCAAGAGCGGACGGTCAGGAGCGTGCAATCACAGCGGGCTACCCGCTGGCTCTGGCACACCGCGCCTCGTCGCGGCACGCCGTGCGCGTCCCAGAGTCCCCGAGCATTAGCCCCACAAGTCCCCGACGATGTCATCTTGTCGATCCAGGCGATGTGTTCCTCGATTTCTGCCTCTGTGGCGCGTCAGCGGGTCACGGGGCCATCAACTGCAAGGACCCAGGACGAAGAAGGGTCCCCGGGGAAGGGGTTCGGGGCCTCTGGGGCTGCGCTTTCCAAAAATAGGGGAACAAACATTGGCATAAACATAACAACTCGGAGGTCCGCGCGGATTTCCGGGATCGGCGCTGGGGCCCCCCGGCGGCGCCCCCGGCGCCGCCCCTGGCGCGATCCGCGCGCCAGGGAGGGGGCCCCAGCGCCGATCCGAGAAATCCGCGCGGACCTCCGAGTTTTAATGTTTATGCCACTTTTTGTTCCCCTAGAGGAGCTGGTCTCGGGGAAAGCCCCGGGGTCCAGGACCCGTTCACGCATGCCAGTCTCGGGCAAGTTACGTGCTCGACCATGGGGCGCCTTGTTTACCTATTTGAAGGTGCCCCAGGACACACAAATAAATACACACAAGTAAACAGATTCCCTGTATTTTCATTTTTGGGGGGTTTTGTCTGTCTTCCCCCCCCCACTTCCCATATTTTCCCACCTTATTTTCTGGGGAATCGACGATGAATTGTGCCTGTGTGTTTTTCCCTCCTGAAAGTTACGTGTTCGACCATGGGCGCCTCGTTTACCTACTGACCTTCGGCAATCTTCGGCTGTTTCCGGCGGTCGGGAGCGTCGGCTCTCCGCGCGTCGCGGCGGCGGCCCCGACGCCGCACGCCGTGCCCTGCGAGCGGCTCACGGCATGCCGCCTCGCTCCGCGTGGCGGGAGGCCGGGAGAAGGCTCGGACCGTCCCAGACACCCGACGACCTGATCTTTTAGGGGAACAACAAGTGGCATAAACATAACAAGTCAATTGACAAAATACATGGAATATGTTTCTTGGTGTGTGTATGTCTTTGTGTGTCCTGGGGCCCCTTCAAGTAGGTAAACACGGCGCCCCATGGTCGAGCACGTAACTTGCCCGAGACTGGCATGCGTGAACGGGTCCTGGACCCCGGGGCTTTCCCCGAGACCAGCTCCTCTAGGGGAACAAAAAGTGGCATAAACATTAAAACTCGGAGGTCCGCGCGGATTTCTCGGATCGGCGCTGGGGGCCCCCGGCGGCGCCTCCGGCGCCGCCCCTGGCGAGCTCCGCGCGCCAGGGAGGGGTCCAGCGCCGATCCGAGAAATCCGCGCGGACCTCCGAGTTGTTATGTTTATGCCACTTGTTGTTCTCATATCTTCATCCTGAGCCGTTCTCTCACGGTCCCAAGACTGGGGCAGCGGCAGGGCCTTGGGAGCCCAAAGATTGCGCAAGTCATCCAGGGCACATGTTTTGTCATGGTGACCAGGGCAATTTGGGTCCGAGTGGATGGGGGTCGGAGGATCACGCCGATGCATCGCCGATGCATTGGCGATGCATCGGCGATGCGGCTCGATGTGGAGCCCGATAGTCTCCACGCCAACGTCGCCGATGCATCGCCGACGTCGTCGATGCATCGTCGATGCATCGGTGATGCATCGACGATGCGCCGCGATCCTCCCCGCCTGACCTTTCTTGCAGTGCGTTCTGGCCAGGAGAGTTCTGAAGGGAACCTAGACGTGGCGACGAGAAGCTTCGCGCAGGCGCAAACTTGGGAGAAAAGACGCCCCACAATGTCAAAATTCGGTCGTCACTCCTCCTCCTCCTCCTCCTCCTCCTCCTCCTCCTCCTCCTCCTCCTCCTGCTCCTGCTCCTGCTCCTGCTCCTGCTCCTGCTCCTGCTCCTGCTCCTGCTCCTGCTCCTCATCTCCCTCCTCACAATGTCAAAGCTTGGTCGTCAAACTTCGAACCGCGACCCCGTTTGCTTCATCCGGGCTGCGCCAGGACCGGGACGAATCGCTCCAGAGCGTTCCGGAACGCTCTCGGAGCGCTCCAGAGCGCCTTCAGAGCGGCCGCGGCGCCCGACACGGCCTCCAGACCCGCGGGATTTCGGAGATCCCCGATGTGTCCTTGCCCGAGCTCGTCCCAGTCCTGGCCTCGTCTCCTTCGTGGCGGTGAGGGCAGGCTCCCCCCCGAGAGCCGGGCAGCAGCAGCGGCGGCGGGAGCCTTGCCCCGCACTCCCCGCGCGCGCGCAGAGGCTGGAGCGCCCCACCGGGCTCTCCGGGCAGCTGGGGCTGGAGCCCGGGCTCCCGCGGGGGGGGGGGGGAGGACAGCGAAGGAGGGGGAGGCGACGAGGGGGAAGCGAGGAGGAAGAAGGGGGGTGGGGACGGAGGAGGAGGAGGAGGAGGAGGAGGAGGAGGAGGAGGGGGGAGGGGAGGGGGAAAGAGGGGAGGAGGGGAAAGGGGAGAGGAGGGGGAAAGGGGGGAGGAGGTGGAAAAGGGGGCGGAGGAAGTGGGAGGAGGACGACGAAAGAGGAGGAGCGAGGAGGAGGAAGTTCAGCAGGGTAGCAGGTGGCGATCGTTCTTGGAGGTTGGAGTGGGTGTGGTGCTTCCTTGGACTAGGAAGTTCTGGTGAGACTGTGGGTGTTATTATGGCTTTCGAGGAGGGCTGGGGGGTTGTGAGGTTCTCGGAGAGGAAAAGCAGCAGCGGCAGCGGCAGCAGCAGCAGGATAAGGGGTGCACCAACGCAGCGGAATAGCAGCCGCACGATGAGGGCGAGGCGGAAGGCGAGCGGAAGTTGAGCGGAAATTGAAGGAAGATGACGACGACGACGACGACGACGACGACGACGACGACGACGAGCGCGAGAAGGAGAAGAGCGCTTGCAAGAAAAACACTACGGCACCGACCCGAAGAAAGGAGCGCTTTCCGAGAGGTACGGACAACGGTCGGCGGGGAGCCCGGGGGGGAAGTGAGAAGAGGCTGGCCTTCTCAGAAGGCTCGGAAGTGCCCCGGCCTTCTGAGAAGTTGTCTAAGCCTTTCCCGAAGACACAGAAAACCTCTCAGAAGGCGTGGGGGCTTCTCAGAAGTCCCGCCGACTTCTGAGAAGGCCTTCTCCTTCTCGTTTCCCCCCCTCGCTCGCCGCCGAAACGGGCGCGAGACAAGGACGAGGAGGAGGAGAAGGAGAAGGACCAGAGTAGCAAGTCCCTACGCCCCCTGGAAAGACCAGCATCACGTTGGAACTGCCCGGCACCCTTCGAGGGCGCACAGTGGAGACCCATGCCAAGAAACATTATGCTTGCCTCCAGGGTGCTCTAGATTTCTTGGGACGCTCTGGGGTCTTAGGGTTGTGTTTCTTGTGGAAGGTTTCTTGTGGTCGGGCCTCCACTGCAATCAGATATGCGACAGGGGATGACCATGCAGTTCAGCGAGGTGTCCATCGAGATTCCCTTTGTTTTTGGGACCGCCCTCCATCCGTGCAACTGTTGCAGGACATGGGCATCGCGGAAGTCCCGAGCGGGAGCCCGATTACAAAAGGAGCCGTCATTCGTCCGTGCAGCTTCTACTTACGATGAAGTTCCCAGGTTTTGATCTTAAGAAATCTCAAGGCAGAGCCCCAGACTGAAAATGAACCGGCGTCTAGCGCTGTCATTGCGGCAGATGTGTAATGCAAGTGTGCGTGGCGCCAAAGCGAGAGCCGAAGGTAAAAAAGAGCCGCCTTCCATCTCTGCAATTGTTGAATTCAAGAGTGCGCGCGGAGCTGACCCCCCCAGTTTGAAAACGCCCCGCCCATCATCCCCGTAAATGTTGCAAACGTTCGAGGCGGATGTGCGCGGTGCGAAGGCGAGAGCACCGTTTTCAAAACCACCTGCGCTCCATCCTTGTAGCTGGCGCAGGCGTCTGAGATGGTCGTGCGAGGGGCCAGGGCGGAAGCCCCATTTTGAAAGCCGCGATTGTTCCATCCTCTCAACTGCTGCAATGTTGTGGGACGCATGTGCGCGGTGTTGAGGCGAGAGCTTCATTTTGAAACCGGCTCGTGCTCAATCTTGGCAATTGTTCCGAATTTCGAGTTATAGGATCAAAAATGGTGAGGAAGTCTGAGGCAAAACGCCTGGCCCGCCCTGCCAACACATGTGAACGACAGGGAGGAGTTACCGATCAGGAAAAGAGAGGAAGCGGAGGAAGAGGCAAGCTAGGTGCGCTCGCGCCATGTCTGCCATGCGTTCCCTTTGCGTTGAAATCTGGTCTGCCCGCCGACTAGAGTGTCCTACAGCCTCGGAAAGGCTTTCTCCCAGCGCCCCAACACACGCCCATGCCGATCTACAGCGTACTGGGCGCCCGCCATTTTGTAGTGCAGTCGTGTTATGTGTGGACCACAATAGGTATTCACGACGCCGTGCCAGTACTTCGGTGTACGCGCCCACCACGACGCGTGTCAATTGACCAGTCAGTGTCGAAGAGAGCGTGACACGTCCCACTGCGTGTTGAGACCACATGGCAGCCATGACGGATGTTACCCAATCGTACACACACACATCCGTTGATTTGTTTGTCCGCGAGCCTCGTGAAGGCCCCTTGGGGCCCACACCATGCCAAACGAGAGAGGAAGCAGTCGAATTCTGAGGACGTCTCACGCGAAACTGGGCCGACGCTATGCCAAACCAGGGCCAAAACCAGGCAACTTATGACGACGTCGCATGCGAAACCGTGCCCAAACCAGGCCAAACCAAGGCGAAGCCATGCAAATTCTGGCGGAGTCTCTGGCGGAACCGGGCCCAAACCAGCCCAAACCATGGCAAAACCAAGCAAATTCTGAGGATTACTCACTCGAAACCGAACCCAAACCAGGGGCCAAACCAGGCAAATTATGAGGATGGCGGAGGGCGCAAGCCCCACCGGCAAATTATGAGGACAGGCGGGGGGCGCACGCCAAACCGGCGGCAAAGCCAGGCATATCTTGAGGACACCCCAGGCAGACTCGCCCAGACCAGGCTCCGTCCATTCTCCTTACTAAAATTCCGATCAGAAGAGTTGACCGCCCCAGGGCCCTCCCGCAGGCGAAACGCCGTTTCGAGTTGTTTAAGGAGGGCGTTTGAACCGCGCGGCCGTTGATGCGGACGGCGGTGGGCGCAGAAGCCTTCATTTGTCTTTCGGGTGTTTTTAGGGGCCTTGGTGTGGCGGTCGGAGAGATACGTCCGAGCCTGTAGAACACATGGATCCCCAAACTGAGCCCATCGTCGATGCGCAAGTAGAACGGGGGGGCTTTGTACATCGGAAACGAGGTGGCGGATGAGCAAGACTAAGAGGAGGACCAGGATGAGGAAGGAGCACATCAGGAGGAGGAGCAGGACGAGTCGGAAGAGCAATAGGACCAGGGGAAGGCGAAGGAAGGGAACGGAGGTGACGGCAGCGACGAGGAAAGACGATGATTCAGAACTGTGTCCCGCGCTGGGGCGAAAGCGAAATCCTGAACGAAGGGAGCAGAGTATTGAAATCTGGTTCTAGAACTACCGAGAACGTCCCGAACGAAAAAACATGGGAATGACAAAATACAGAAGTCTTACGCGTGAAAAGTATGCGGAAGAGGCGGGCGCAATCTCACGTTGCACAAGGTTTGCGCAAGTGTGTGTGGGCAGCAGCAGGAGCAGGAGGAGCAGGTAGGCCAAAGGGAGGAGGAGGAGGAGGAGGAGGAGGAGGAGGAGGAGGAGGAGGGGTGAAGGAGCCGAGGAAGACGGCGACCAAGACAGTGACGCAGAGCTTCTTTCGATCGTACCCATCCGACTCGATGCACCGATGCTGGCCAGCTCGATGCGCTTTGAAAATCCGGCATTCCGACGGTTTAGTGCGGCCCGGTGTCTGTTTGGCGTTGCCGTGCCTTTCGGCGCCGCCACTCCAATCCGATCTCGACTCCGTGGGAAAAAAACACACACAAAAAAAAAACGTTGGACAAAAACACACACACACAAAAAAACGTGTGTTTTTGTGTTTTTTGTGTTTTTCCCCACAGCCCCTGTGGCCCGATAAGACACACGTGTTCGATCCGATGCTAAATGGACGGCGACGCCGACGGCGGCGACGGCCCCCCTCAGAAGTTGGCCCGAGGCCGCTGCCGGGGTGCATTTCGACCAGACCCTCCCAGGGAATGCAGCCGAAGCGACGCGAGGCTTCCCGGAATCCCGGAAACTCAAAATCCAAACAAAAAATCGACGACGACGATTACGACGGCGACGACGGCGACGGCGACGACGACGACGGCGGCGGCGACGACGGCGACGACGGCGGCGACGACGGCGACGACGGCGGCGACGACGGCGACGACGGCGACGACGACGACGACGGCGACGACGACGGCGGCGGCGGCGGCGGCGCGTCACTGTGAGGCTCCAGTGCCGCCCCCGCGGCGGCCTGGGCGTCGCGGCAGCCCCCGCCGCCGCCGGAGTGGCGCTTCGGGCAGCCAGGCGGGCCCGCGGGGGCGCCGGCTCTGCCTGGCCAGGGCGGGCAGGAAAAAAACATCAAAAAAAACGGCAAACAACAGCATAAAAGACTGAAAAAGTGCATCGAAAAACATGTAAAAAACTAACAAACCACAAAACCTGTGCTTTCTGTTTCTGTGTGTGTTTTTTTTTCTGGCATGTTTGCTCAAGTGGGCCTGCCAGGCCAGGTCGGGGTATTCAAGCAATGACTTGCCAGGCCAGGTCGGCCACGCGCAGAGGGGGTAGGGGGGGAGGGGGGGGGAGGCTTCTCAGAAGCACCCCTGCTCCTTAGAGGGCGCGGGCCTTGTCGATAGGTGTAAGGCCGGCGCCTTCTGAGAAGCAGCCTCCTTCTAAGAGGCCTTCCCCCTTCCCCCTACAGTCGGCCCTGATTAGTCGGTCGACCCTGCCAAATCAAGGGTGCTCTTGTGTCCTGAGTCTCGCGACCCATGCCTCCTACATTCCCATGGCAGTGCGCCTCTCGGAAAGGGTCTTTTGTCCTCTCGCGTGTCCTCTCCAATCAAGTCCGACTGCACAGTGCCGTTTTTAATGCATGCTCCGCGTGCGGATCATGTATTAAAAGTGCAGGGAGTTGCTATTAAAAACAACGATGAGTTCATGCATAAATTCATTAATAAATGAATGTATTAAAAATCCTATACTTTAAAAATCCCATGGATTAAAACTGCCCTGTACCCCCTTTTGCGCGCCGCCAGCCAGGTCAGGGTTGCAGACGGGCCGATCCGACCAGGTCAGGATGTCTTGGCATCGCCCGGGCGTGTGCGCCTTCCTCGGCGACGCCAGCGCCAGAAGGCCTGGTGCCATCGTGAGAAGTGCGCGCGCGAGGCCGGGCCAGCGCGCGGGGAGTGGCCGCGTGGACGTCCGAGCGAAGGCAGGCCTCGGTCGCCGCCACGGCGTCGCAAGCAAATCGCGCTCCTGCCTCCCCTGCTGCCGCGATAGAGCGGAGTTGCGCTTGCCCCCGGGCCCCTCGTCGCCAGACGTCGGCAACCCCCCATCACTCGTTGCAGTCTTGGCACGAGCCTTGTTGCTGGCCACCTCGGCTGCCAGCTGCCTGGTCGGACGACGTCAGCCCATCTGGGTAAGCATCATCATATTGCCCCCGTTGCCTATCGCCATGGCCGCCAGTTTGCCAGTGGTCTCCTTCCAGGCCACCACTGAAGGGATTACCATATTCAATGTCCGTCTCGACGACTTGTCGTCGCGCCAACATCTAACTACGCGACCGTCGGCACGAACCCGTCACACCCGATGGCCGCGGAGGTCTGCGAGATCAAGTCGAGCATACATTACATGTTCTCTAAGTACTTCCGCGGGATCCACGGCTAGTTCCTCCCTGACAGTAGATCGACCTACGGAGACGAACACGCGTGCCACCCGATGCCCTGGCTGCATGTCCCCACGCCCAACCCGACCCCCCGCGACTCCAGCGAGGCTGAGTTCTGGTAGGCCATATCCGCTTTGGACCCTTCGTCCCTCCGTCGCTGGAAAGGCCCATGACCTCGATCATCGTTGTCTTGTCGACATCAACCAGTGGCTGGATATCGTCGTGCCAGACTTCTGCGGGGAGCTTGTCCAAGCATGCGCCAAGCCCAGCGATCTCATTTGCAAGAACTGCATCCGTACCAACCTGCGCCATGATACCTTTGGCGAGCATGACCTCGACGGGCCAAACGAAGCGAAGATAGACGTCGAAGAAGAAAGAACGGCATGAACATAAACTTCTGAAGGGTCCAACGCCGATCCAAGAAATCCGCGTGGAGCTCCAAAAGTTTATGCTCATGCCGTTGTTGCATCTCCAGCGTCTATCTTCGCTCCGTTGGGCCCATCAAGGGCATCTTCACTGGAGGTATCATTGCGCAGCCTGGTACGGATGCACCTGCCTGACGAGCCCAACGAAGCTAAGGCAAACGGCCTCGTCTTGAGTGGTGGTTTGCCAGGCCTCGGTACATGGGGTGTTCAAGTGAGCCTGCCTGGCCAGGTATTATTTCTTATGGAAAAAACCTGGGGTGGCTTGTCCAGGGGGAGTTGTCCGGATCCTTGCGAGGTTGTCCAAGGGGTTGTCCACACCGCGTCGTTTTGTCAGCACGTGCACATGTCATCATCATACATACCATTGAAAGCATGGCACAACCAGTGAAGTCCAGCTGGAAATGTCGCATCTCTTTCTCCCTTCCCCTCCTGTCCGTTCCTCGTCTCTCGTGGCCCCCCTTCCACTCCTGTACGCCCTTCTTTACTGCGCTTCCCCAAGCAGCTGTGATAACCAGGGTCCTGTTGCAGTAGAAGCTAGTTCTGGCCAAGGGGCCAGCGCGCAGAGACATCCGCCAACACCCGGGGTGGTCCGGCCAGTTTCGCCGGAGACGTCCTCGCAACTCTGGGTTCGGAGATGCCCTGAATTGAGGTGGTCTGGCAAGTTTGCCTTGACGCATTCTCGCAACTCAGGGCTCGGAGATGCTGGTGTCCCCGCATCTTTGGGCTCGGAGATGCAGTGCGCGAGGTGGCCCAGCCAGTTCTGCCAGAGACATCTGGGCTCGGAGATGCAGCGCGCGAGGTGGTCCAGTCAGTTTCGCCAGAGACATTCTCGCAACTCTGGGTTCAGAGACGCCGCACGACATTTTATGGCCAGCTTCGCCTGAGACAGCCTCGCAACCCTGGGCTTAAAGATGCCCTGACCTGAGGCGGTCCAGGCCGTTCCCTCTGAGACGTCGTCAAATGCTGAGTGAGAGATGGTCTGGCCAGTTTCGCTTGGGACGCCCTCGCATGTCTGGTCTCGGAGATGCAGCGTGCGCGGCCAGAGTCGCATGACACGTCCTCGCATTTCTGGGCTCAATTTCTGGGCTCCGATATGACTTGACCTGAGGTGGTCCGGCCAGGTTCGTCTGCGACATGCCGCGCACAAGGTGATCCAGCTAATTTCGCCTTAGACGTCCTCTTGTTTCTGGGCTCGGAGATGCCGTCTGAGTCATCCTCGCAACTCTACGCACCGAGATATCCTCATTTCAGGTGGTTTGGTCAGTTTCGCCTGAGACATCCTCGCAATTTCGGCCTCCGAACTGCCTCTCGCGATGTGGTCTGGCCCGTGTCGTCAGAGACATTCTCGCAATTCTGGGCTCGGAGATGCCGCGCGAGAGGTTGTCCAACCAGTTCTGTAGGGGACATCCTCGCAACTCTGGGTTCCGAGATGCCTCGCGCGAGAGGGTGTCCAGCCTGTTCCACCTGCGATCCTCGCAACTATGGAATCAGAGACGCCGCGCGCGATGTGGTCTGGCCAGTTTCGTTTAAGACAGTCCTCGCAACTCTGGGCTCCGAGATGCCTCGCGCGAGGTGGTCCGGCTAGTTTCTCCAATGGCTGCCAGGGTTGTCAGGATGCATGTCAGAATTCATTCCAAACGTCGGCGCACGCTGCCTTGCCCACGTTGTGTCCCAATTCGGATTGCTCGAGAGGGCCATTCGCGTCTACTACGCTTGCCGAGACGTTTCGGGCACGCGGCATCACATGCCCTTGGCCGACAGGCCGCATGCTTACCCACGGGAAGTGGAGGGTGGGATTGCATCTTCGGGCTCCCGCCAGGCCAGCAGTCAAATCGAAGCTTCGGCGCCGAAGGTAGTCCTGGGGGCGGCACGCGTGAGCGAGTTGGTCGCCATCAGTTTAGAGACTGTCTGCTCTGGATGGGTCTTGCCATTAATTTCTCCCCTCCTCCTCGGCCTCGCTCCCGCACATGGACATTATATTCGAACCCTGTGGCCCAAGACGCCCCCCAGACCCCTCAAATTAATATTGATGGCGTGGCGACGGGGGAGGAGGCGTGAGTGGACAGAAATGTTCGAACCCCAAAGCACCGCCTTCACTGAGATCAACATTGATGTCGGGGGCGCGGGGGTGATTCAGAATCTCCCTCGAATGTGTAAGGGTTCGAATATATTATCCATCTACTGTCCATGGCAAGGTTTCTGTAGTCCTGCACATTGCTCAAAGCGACCCCTCATAAATCCAAGATCCCATGACTTGGGGGAGAAGGTGGAGGAGGAAGCGAAGGATGAGGAGGATAAGGATCAGGATGAGGAGGAAGAGGAGGATAGGGGTGAGGATGAGGATGCGGAAGACTAGGAACAGTAGTGAGAGACAGGAGGAATGATAAGGATGAGGATGGGAGGTGGTGGGGAGGTGGTGGTGGGGAGGGTTCGAATATATTGTCTATCTACTGTCCCTCCCGTCCTTCGCCTCTTCTTCTCGTCGGCACACAAGACCTTGCGGACCCTGTCACGGCTTATTCCCCAGACTTCTGCCGCTCGGTCGCCGCTCGTTGCCGCGCGCGCACGCAACATGCTCACAGACAGTGTTGTCGGTCAGAGGTCTGCTAAGCAGATTCAATCGTGCCTTCAAGAATTCGTCTGTGCCCCTGCCCGCAGCCTCGGCAGGCGGTGGATGTGGACATATTTGGGCACCCGGGGGCCGAAATATATCCATATCCACCGCCCGCTGGGGCACCAGGACGCCGGTTCCCAGGCGGTGGATATGGATAAATCCCCGCCTCGCAGGAATTGCGTCGCGGCAGACACTTCTAATCTGGCGCCGACGTGAAGTTGTTCACCCTCGTCCTGCCCACCAGAACTGGCGACCGAGTTAAGCAGATTAGATTGGCATTGCTGTTTTCACCCAGGCGCACCTTTGGGGCAAGAATGTTGCTGGAGAGGCGTGATGTTGAAAGACCATCTATATGTGTATAGATATACACATCTATATATTTAAGTGTATATACGTATACATATATATATATATAGTCAGGCGGATATTTGGACGGCGGGCCGCAATGCAACACCTTCGTTGCTCAGCCGGTACTGTTTGGCAACATTCGCCCGCTGCGGCATGTAACAGTCACAATGGCCCGCCCGCGCGGGGGCGACTTCGGAGGCCTCAGTCACAAGGGCCACGATCGCACTGCTCGAAATTGCATTCGCACGTGAAGCTTTTCAGCGACCGCCACACCACCGCCGCTGTTGGTACAATGACCACAGCGATTTCCCCCCTCGTTCTCCCTTCTTCCTCTTCTCCCCCCTCCGCTCTCTCCTCCTCTCCCTCCGGCTCGACTTCGACGGAAGATGGGAACAAAAAGGAGGGCGAGGGGGCCGGAGGAGGAGGAGGAGGAGGACGAGGAGACGGACCACCACGACGACGACGGCGGCGAGAGGCGGCGGCCGTTGCCTCGGCAGCGGCGCGCGCACGGCACCAGCGCACACGCCGTCGCATCTCTGTGTTTAGCGAGGCCGCGCGAGGGGTGGTCGGGCAAGCTCCGCTTGCGACACCCTCGCAGCTCGAGGCTCCGAGGTGACGGCCGTGAGGTCGTCCAGCCGAGCGCGCCTGAGGAACCTTCGCACCTCTGGGTTCGGAGATCCCGCGCGCAGGGTTGTCCAACCAGTTTCGCCCGAGACGGTCCTCGCCTCTTTGGGTTCCGAGATCACGCGCACGAGGTTGTCCGGCCAGATTTGCTTGAGCTATCCTCGCAATTCCTATATTCCATGACCTCAAGTGGCCCGACAAGCGTCGCATGATACATCCTCGCAACCAGGGTCTCAGAGATACCGCACGCGACGTTTTCAAGCCAGTTTCGCTTGAGGCGTCCTCGCAACTCTGAGCTCCAATATGCCCTGATCGGAGGTGCTACGGAGCTCAAACATCGTCAGATGCCGCGCCAGAGCTGGTGTGGCCAGTTTCGCTTGAGACGTCTTCGCAACTCTGGGCTCAGAAATGATGCATGTCAAGTGGTCCAGCCGGTTCCGCCTGAGGTATCCTCGCAGTGTTGGGTTCCTATGTTTTGACCTGCGGTGGTCCAGCCCGGTTCGTCATGCCGCGCACAATGTTATCCAGCCCACTTCGCCTGAGACATTCTTGCACTTCTGGACTCAGAGATGCCGCGTGAGAGGTGGTCCAGCCAGCTTCGCCTGCGACGACGTCGCAACTCTAGGCTCAGATGCCGAGGCAATTGTACATGAGACATCCTCACAATGTCCTTGGCTCCAACATACTCAGGACGGGCCCGGCGCCCACGAGCTCGATCCGACCCGGCTCCTCCACCTCGGTGGGCAGGACGCCAGCTCCGAGCGCCCCCTGGTCGCCCGTCCGCCAACCCCCCCTTGCGGGCGCAGACGGCTTCGCCCCGCCGTACCCTGGCGCCGCCCCCGGCCCGCCGCCGGACGGGTGCCTCCCAGGCGCGGCGCCCAGCCTCGGTGGGGCGCGCGCGCGCGCCTTGTCGGGGGCTGGCGGCGTCGGCGTCGTCGTCGCAGCAGTAGTCCTGCTCCCGTTCCTCCCTCCTCCCGCTCTTCCCCCCCCTCCCTCCCAGACACCCTGGCGTCGCGAGCAAAACACGACGGAGTATTCCGGGCGGCCATGTTCGGCCTCACGGGACCCTGACTTGGCCCCAGAAAACGGCTTGGGATGAAGA